ACTGCCTCCTTCCGTGTGCTCGCCTCAGCTGCGGCACTGACAGATACAGAACTGTCCACTTCAAAAAACACCACTGAAGGTTGCACATTGCACACCCACCTGGGTACAAGCCTGAGGCTCGGTGCTAGAATTTTGGAGACGCTCTCGGGGAGCTTATGGTCTATGGCAGAAACAGAGAGAGGAAGTTTTAGCTCGATATGACAGGTCTTCTGCGAGTGCCTGTCCAGCATGCCCAAGAGCCCAGGGGAGGGCTGCAGAGCCTAGTCTGCCAGGGTCAGAGGGCTAGGTACCTCAAAAAGCCAAAGATGAAGTTTTGGGGATCGTCCAGAGAGGACAGAGCCCACCTAGGACCCAGAGGAGGGGCAGGAACAGTAGGAAGGAAGTCAGAGGAGGGTGGTGGCCCAGAGGCCTAGAGAAGGGAGTAGCCAGCAGCCCCAGCTGCCACAGAGGACACGAGGTGTGTGGGGTCTAGGATCGATGTGCCGTGTTGGGCAGGTGGCACAGGGAGGGGAGGGTGTGTGTCTGAGTGTGGAATTGAAGCCGGTGGTTGATGAGGAAGCCAACACAACACCCAGGTGTCTTGCCAAAAAGCTCAGCCTACAGAGGAGGTGAGGCAGCAGTGTAAAGGGTTTGTGGTGAGGGCTGAGACAGCAAAGCCAAGGATGAGGGCAAAAAGGAGATGGGCAGAGGCGTAGGGCGGGGTTTGACTAGGAGACCCCTCGAGGAAAGGTGAAGGACATCAGTACGCGGGATGGGCGCGTACCTTGGAGCGGTCTGGGCTGACGGACTCAGTGTGGCTGGAAGGAAGTACAGTACTCTGTTGGTCACGTGGACAGTGGGAGAGGGAGTGGGCTGTGGCCAAGTAAGCTGGTAATCGAGCAGCCTGAGGCTTGAAAGTTCTCGTGGCCCCAGTCCTGTCCTGATGTGTGGATTTTCTCATTACGTAGAGCGCAGGTGCTGAGCATGAAAGTGGAGTAAGGTAGCCTGAGACTGCTTAACGGAAAGGCTACTTATAGGAGACAGAGATGGCATGAGGATGTGGCAGTGACTGTGACAGCCAGGTCCCCGCCCTTAGGGACTAGACTACATTTTGGTAGAGGAAACGGACACGTCCGTTAGCAAGTGCACTGCAGCTTGGAATGAGCGCTGTGAGGAAGGACGCAGTGAGGGTGGCTGGGCGAGGCCCCTGGAGTCAGCCCGTTGTGTTCAGGGAGCTGATGGAGGAGAGAAGGCTAAGAAGAGGTGGAAGAAGGTGTCAGAGGTGGACCCAGGGGCACTGAGGCCTGGAGACGATGTGGGTCACACAGCAAGGGTCAGGTTTAGAGTCTTGCTTAGGGCTTGAAGGGCACGCGGGCAGGTTGGCCTAGAGAAGCAGTGTGGGGAGAAAGTGCAGCCATGGGAGCCCCGCGTCTCCTAAAGCCTGCTCCACGGAAACTTCTGTTCCCCCACTCCACCCAGATACAGTGCTCAGTCCTCAGTCCACATCCTGTGGGAGCCAGCAGCAGCATTGGCACACAGGTCCCTCCCTCCTTGAAGCACTTCCTTCCCTGGCTTTGGAACCCCAGCCCTCTCCTCACCTCTCTGGTTGTGCCTCCTCATTGCCCCAACCTGTCAGCTTTGGCATGTCCAGGGCCCTGGCCTTGACTTCTCTATCTACACTCATTCCCAGGTGCCCTCATCTACCTTCATGGCTCCAAATCCCAGCTCTAATTCCGATAGCCCCCAGCTTGCTAGCCACCCTTCTATAACCTGCTGCCTGCCCGCCTTCTCCATCAGCAAGTTGCAGGGGGAGGTTTTCTAAGAGGAAGCTCAGATTCAACAAGTCCCAAACTGAGCTCTCAGCCTTCGCCCCGGACTTGTTGCTCCCGCATCCTCACCATCTCAGTCAGTGGCAGTTTCATCCTTCCAGTTGTTTAGGCCCCAAACCTCAGAGTTGTCCTTGACCCCTCTTTCTCTCATATCCATGTCTCCTCCATCAGCAAGTCTTGCCTGCTCTAAAGTCTTCAGCCCCTGAGAAATCCCTTAAATAGCTCAGAATGTATATGTATTTGATTTTATGAGTATGGGCCTGTATAATAATATATTTGTAATATTTACAGAAATGTGCTGCATATAAAAAAAATACATGTGAAAAATATAATTCTCCAGTATTTTTAATTTTGTGTGAGAGACAGAAGAATGAGGGGTAGATGGGCATTTATGGTAGACTGAGTTTGAGTGAGCCATAAGTGTGACCTGCAGAGAAACAACACTGCAGGCCTCCATGGAACTGCCCATCTAGCCAAGAAGTCCTGCAGAAAAGGGACCACAGGCCCTGTAGAAAAAAATAATGTCTGTCCTATTCAGTTCGCTGGGCAGTTAGGGCAGGAAGAGGGCCTTCAGCCCCAGTATGTGTGTTTGTGCTCAGGCAGGAAGGGAGGGTGGTGGGCATCTGGGGGCTTTTGAGTCCAGGAGGAGTGATCCTCACCTACTCTGACCTGTTCCTTGGGACCAGGTGAGGCTTCGAGCTCTGAGGAAGAGCCTCCATCCCCAGAGGACAAAGAGAACCAGGCCCCAAAACGGGCTGGCCCGCATCTGCGCTTTGAGATCAGCAGTGAGGATGGGTTCAGCGTGGAGGCAGAGAGCCTGGAGGGTGAGTTGGGAGTAGCAGTGATGGGGAAGGAAGGTATCCTGTAGGACACCAACCTGACTGCTTTGGCCCTGCCCTCTCCGCAGGGGCGTGGAGAACTCTGATTGAGAAGGTGCAAGAGGCCCGAGGGCATGCCCGACTCAGACATCTCTCCTTTAGTGGTAAGTGGGGGTCCATGGGGATGCTGGGGGCTGGGATGACTCCCCAAGGGCAAGATGTGCCTCTGCCATGACTTGTGTGTCCTCACCTTTGACTTCCCAGGAATGAGTGGGGCAAGGCTCCTCGGCATCCACCACGACGCCGTCATCTTCCTGGCAGAGCAGCTGCCCGGGGCCCAGCGCTGCCAGCACTATAAGTTCCGCTACCACCAGCAGGGAGAGGGCCAGGAGGAACCACCCCTGAACCCCCATGGGGCAGCCCGCGCCGAGGTCTATCTCCGGTGAGAGGGCTGGGGCGTGATGCCTGGATCGAAGGAGCCAGGTTCTTGAGGGTGGCAATGAACTCTGTACAGATTGGAGACAGAGGCCTGGGGAGAAGACACTAGGGCACTCGAGGCCTTACTTCTAGAGTTCACATCAGAAGAATGAACCCATCCATTCCCCTTTTACTGTGTCTTCAGTAGTAGCGGCATTCCTCCTGCCCTGCCAGCAGCAGGCCTAGGGCAAAGAATAGATGGGTAGCATCTGCTTGAAGGGCTGCCTGTGAATCTCCCTCCTTCCCTCCCTCCCACCTGCAGGAAGTGCACCTTCGACATGTTCAACTTCCTGGCCTCCCAGCACCGGGTGCTCCCTGAGGGCGCCACCTGTGACGAGGAAGAGGATGAGGTGCAGCTGAGGTCAACCAGGTATGGCGAGCAGGCTGGGGTGCTGGGGGTGGTTTGGAAGGGTCCCAAAGAGGATGACCAGGGGCAAGAGAGGTTGGTCCTGGATACCAGCCTGTGGGATGTCTGACACTGCTGCTCCCTCCAGACGCGCCACCAGCCTGGAGTTGCCCATGGCCATGCGCTTTCGCCACCTCAAGAAGACATCCAAAGAGGCTGTGGGTGTCTACAGGTTAGTGGGGTTGGGGGGAGGCTGCCCCTTGGGTGGATGGACAGGCACCCTGGTGTGGAGCTGCCTTGGTTCCCTCCCCCTGCCCCCTGAGCTCGCCCTTGCCCGTCCTTCCCTGCAGATCTGCCATCCATGGGCGGGGCCTGTTCTGTAAGCGCAACATCGATGCTGGCGAGATGGTCATTGAGTACTCTGGTATCGTCATTCGCTCTGTGCTAACTGACAAGCGGGAGAAGTTCTACGATGGGAAGGTGGGCTCCACCAGGTCCTGGGAATGAGGTGGGTGAAGCGGGGCCTGCCCATGGGAACAGAGCACCTGACTGCCCCACCCTGTCCCTGTAGGGCATTGGGTGCTATATGTTCCGCATGGATGACTTTGACGTGGTGGATGCCACGATGCATGGCAATGCTGCCCGCTTCATCAACCACTCGTGTGAGCCCAACTGCTTCTCTCGAGTCATCCACGTGGAGGGCCAGAAGCATATTGTTATCTTCGCCCTCCGCCGCATCCTGCGTGGTGAGGAGCTCACCTATGACTACAAGTTCCCCATTGAGGACGCCAGCAACAAGCTGCCCTGCAACTGTGGCGCCAAGCGCTGCCGTCGCTTCCTTAACTGAAGCCGTGGCTACCCACCACGCCCCTGCTGCCATCTTGCCCCTAGCCTGGGGGCTCCCTAGTCCCTCCCGGAGCATCTCACCCCCACCCTTATGTTCAGGGTGGATGTGGGCATGCAGGTGGCAAGGGCCCTGCCTCCACCCCTCCAGCCCACCCAGCAATCGCCCCCTTTCTGCCCTGGGGGGCCCAGGATGTAGATATTGTACAAAGGTTTCTAAATCCCTTCTTTTCTATGCACTTTTTTATTTAAGAGGGTGGGATCCCTGGTGGGGACCCCCCACAATAAAGTCTGTCAATGTTTGGAGAGGTGGTCTTCCTGTTTGTGTGGTGCTGGGGGCAGGTAGGAGCTTCTGTTTCTCTGTGCCTCACACCCATCCTGAGCCAGGGAAGTCCATCAGCCTCAAATTAGTGAATTGTGGGGTCTGTTCAGGCTTCAGAGCAACAAATGTTCTACATATTGTAAGTTAGAACCCTGCTGGCTCCCTGTAGATGACTTCTCCCAGGGGTAGCAGGAGTATTTCTCAGAGGAGATCCTGGTTGCCCAGAGGCACTAAAGGCCAACTCTCCCATATCTGGTCTTATGTGTATGGTGAAATGGGCCCTTTTTCTGGTGGGGAGAGGAATGAGAGAATGTCTGGTGGGTCTTGGCCCGATTAAGATTCTATTTTAAGAGGGCCACTTAGTTGAAGCTCAGAGACAGCAGGCACTTATTTCAAGGGAAACTTTATTTTTGTTGAGTACTAGGCTGGACAAACCTCAGATCAGCCAAGCTTGGACAGCACCCGCAGGGCATCTGCCCGCCCTAGCTGGGCCAGGTGTGTGCCAAGCTGGCCCAGAGAGGCAGAGGGTTCCCTCGCAACCACCATCTCGATCAGGGCCCGCAGAGGTGAGCGACTGGGTCGCAGTGAGTAGGCAAAGGTGGACCAGGCAGCGGGCAGTCCATATCTCGCAGCCAGGTGTCGAGTGGTGCCACAGGCCATCCCCCCACCTGGCCCAGGCTCAGGATCCAGCAGCACAATCAGCTCCTCCAGCACCTCCAGCTCATCCAGGAGGCGAGACAGGGGCTGCGACGCCAGACTCGGCAATTCTGGAAGACATGGAGGGGTGAGGGGGAGGAAGGGTGGGCTTCCAGTCCACTTTCCCTCTCCTTGGTGTGTCCCCGACTAACCCCTGCCCAGGAGTGGAAGCAGAGACACCCTCTTCCATGAGTCCCCTGCCTCTGATGCCTCCAGGGAGCCTGGAGATGAGGAGTGCAAGGAGGAGAGGGTGTGGGTGGTGGGGTCGCTGCAAACCAAGCCAGGATAGGGGTGGAGGCGAGCTTTCCCCTGGCGGTGGCGGCAGTGCCTTTGCAGGGCGAGCAGGAGGATTGCTGTGGAGGTCAGGAGCAGAACCATCACCAGGGGCAGGGCAAAACTCGGCAAGGCCTGCTGAGGGACGTTGCGCTCAGACGTCCACGGGAGACTGGAAGTCGCCGGTGAGCTGGGCTCCTGGGAGCTAAGGACGCTCGGTTTTCCAGGCGTCAGGAGGCAGAGCTCCTTGGTAGGGACGGGCTTCTGGGAATAGGGGAGTGCAGTAACGCAAGAGGCACGCCCCGCTCCTGCCCTCTCAGCCCAGTCCTCCCATCCCTATGTCCCTCAGTGGGGCCACGCCTCCGCCTGATCCAGACCCGCCCCCCTACTTTAACCCCGGCAGGTCACCTCCCGATACCGCTGTGCCCCAACCCCTATCCTCCTCAGTGGGGCTACACCCCCTCCCTTGGTCCAGACCCCGCCCATCCGGTCCCAAGCCACGCCCTCCAACCCCGCCCCACTCCGGCAAGCAGCACCCAGGGCCAGGCCCTCCGGAGGCGACCGCACCTCTCCGCAGCGCCGCCGGGGTCCGCCGCGCCTCCCGGCGGGAGTAGGGGCCGTGGCTCCACCGCCACAGGGGCTACATAGCTCCGCGCTGTCGAAGTTGCACTGCCCAGGAGGACACTCTTGGAAGGGGTGCGTTACGTGATCGCCAAAGTCATTGAGCCCGCAGTTTTCTGAAAACTCCTGGTCTGGTGGGAGACCGGGTCTCACGTGTGACCAGGCCCCGCCTCCTCCACGCTGGCACCGCCCTTCCCTCCTGTCCTATCCCAGAAGGCCCCGCCCCTTGCACTTACTCACCGTCCTATCAGCGGACGCGCCCGCCTCCCGTCCTCCCCGCGTTAGTGCCGCGGGCCCGCAAACCTGCTCTCGGCGGGCCCCGCCCTCTCACTCCCCTCCCGCTGCGGCCCCGCGCTCCGCCCACGCCCGCGGCTGTCCCCGCCGCCGCCGCTTCCTCGCCGCCCCCGGCCACACCCCTTAGCCCGGGCCCCGTCGTAACCCACGCCATCCCCTTCTTCACAGGCTTAGACCCCTCCCCTACCCCGAAGCAAGCCTCACGGGCTGTACCCGCAGACCTCGCTCCTCTCCCGCACCCCATCACCCCTGGCTCTGCCCACCGTATGCATACGCCCCGTCCCTGCTCCTCACCCGGGCAGGGGGGCGGCCCGAAGCGCTGCAGGCAGCTGCCGCAGCACTGGTTGTCAGGGTTCCAGTACTCGAGGTGGCCGCAGCGCTGGGAGGCCTCCCGCGGCGCCGCCAGGGCCAGGAGCAGCGCGGCAGTCAGAAGGCGGCGGAGGGGCCCCATCCGGGCAGGGCCTGCAGCCTGGGGGGCCGTGACCGCAGGACTTCCGCCCACAGCGCCGCCGCCGCACTTTCCAGGAAACCCGGGCAGAAGGAAGCAGTGGATGTGGGGGCATAGGATCCCCAGGCCTCTTCAGAAGCGGGGAATTACCCCCCAGCCCCCAGTCCCTCTCCTGGCCCATTAGCAGAGAGGCCACAAGGCCTCAAGATGGCTAGAACGGGGATGGGGCCTGACTGCGTGGATTCATATCCCTCTCTGCCATTTTCCCGCCCTCTCTTTTCCCACGTAAAATGGGATAATAGCACCTGTCTCATAGGGTTACTGTGGAGAATTAAAACCGTTACTAGAAGTAAAGCGCTTAGAACAGCACTTGGCATATGGTAAACTTAAGTATTCGGTATTACCAACTCCCCCTCAGGGTAGCCAGCATGGAGGACGCAGCCCTTACCCACTGGAGACTCCCACTCAATTAGCTCCTAAACTCAATCTCTTCTGGGCTGGGGATCCTCCAATCTGCCACCACCAGGCGGCTTCCCCTGAGAAGCCTCTGGTGGATGTACTGAAGTTACCAGCACAAAGGTGTCCCCACCCCACCGGTCCCACTTGGGGGTTTCTAGGGTCCTGGGCTCTGAGCCCGCTGCTTTCTCACCTGTTCGAGATTACTCCGCTGAGGTTGTGGCCAGAGCCCAGCCCCACTTCCCCTTCTCGTCAGACGTGGGGGTGGGAGGAAACTCCAGCCCGCAGCCAGGCTCGAGCTAACAACGAAGCTCTACAGCTTCAATACACAACTTTATTAGGGGAGGGACGGTAGGAAAAGGGCCCTGTGTAGAACAGATTACATCCTGGAGCCCTGGAGGCTGGGGAAGATGGCGGTGGGGAGTTAGGGAAGCTTTGAGGAGGCGTCCTGGCCAGGAACATCTGTGCCTGTCAGGGATGGAGGGCAAGGGGTCCGGGGTCTCAGAAGCGGCCATGCCGATGGTCTGGGGATCGTCGTCGGTTTCTTTCTCTGGGACGGTGGCTGGCCTGAGACCTAGGGGGTGACCTGGGGACAGGAGTGGACAGGGGAGGGTTAGAGCCCTGGGGAGTGGTGTGCAGATCCCCCAGGTCTGCCTCTCTGCTCTGGGATGGGGCAGGGCTGGTGATGAAGCAACCGGAGCTCCTGAGGGTGGTGTCAGGATGGGTGCTCAGGCTCATCTCGGGATTGGAGAACTAGGTCGGTCTTGGGTTTGGGGGTTTGGGGTTCAGGCAGCTGTGGGGGTTGGGACATAGGTGCTGGTCTTGGGATGGGGCTCAGGGCTAGTCTTAGGGTACAGAAGGCTTGAGACAGTTACTGGGGCATAGGATCAGGTCCACCTTGGTATAGGGGCCTTAGGGTATGAGGAGTCTTGGCAGACTGGTCCTGAGGTACCTGCGCCTGGGTCCGCGCCCATAGAGCTGTCGCCGGAGGTTCCGGGAGATGGGTCGCAGGTGCATGAAGTTGCAGAAGCCACCGCGGGTACATTCCCTGGGTAGAGGACGGATGGATGGATGGAGGAGACCACTGTCACTGACAGCTCCCTAACACACACACAGTAGCCTGGGACTCCAGGCGCCCAGCCCTGTACTACCATACCCCATCTCATACTGCCGACAGCATGACTCCCGGAAGTCGGTGACAGGAGACAGCTCGGCATGTACAGCCTGCCCATTGAACCAGCGGTTATTGAGTTCAGCCACTGCCCGCTCTGCATCCTCCTCGCGGCGAAACTGGGAGGAAAGTCGGTCAGGGTCAGCAGTCAAACTCAGAAATCTTCAGGGGACTAGATAGCAGCCCTGAGGCAGGACTGGATTTAGCGATGGATGGACCTCAAGCTGTGAGGCTACAGTGGTGGCCATTAGGCACTGAAATGCCTCCCCCTCTGGGCTCTAATGGGGGGACAGCAGGCACCTTGACATAGACATTGCCCACGAGGTGGTCCCCCAGGTTGTCGCACACATTCATCTCTTCAATCTCCCCGTACTTCTCCTGCAGTTCGGTGAACACCTCCTGCGGAAGACCAGGAGGAACTCAGCTGAGCTCCTGGCCCAAAGGGAACTCGACCCACCCTGCCAACCCTCACCTCGAAGAAGTTATCATAGTGTTCTTGCACCTCCACGTCGCTCACGTGACCTGGAGGAGGGGGCAGGGTGGAATCAGGGCGTGGCCTGCTGGGGGCTGTCCGCCCTGCCCCCAAGACCGGCCCTTCACTCACAGTGCGATCCGTCTGCGGTTTGGGCCGTGTTCTGTGGATTCCGGTACAGGTTGAGCAGCACTATGGTCTGAACAGAATTTAAAAGGGGCAGGGGCTGAGCTCAGAGAGCGGGGTACATGTAAAGGGGTGGGGTATGAAGGTTGGGAGTGGGACCTTGCACCAGAGAAGAAGCCTAAGCATTTTGACTGCATCGGCGATGCTTGCCCCAAGGAAACCTGAAGAGAGGGGACCTAGGACAGCCCAGCGGCGTAGTCTTGTACATACGAGGGGGTGGCCAAATTTCTGGGAGAAGGGCCTGAAGGTTGGGGGAGGAACCTGCAGAGGTCCGACAAGAAACGAGCCGGGCGGTAGGGTGGGCCTTAGAAACCCGGAAAAGGCGGGACCTCGTGACGGTGGACAGCAGAAGAGGAAGGGCCGGGAGGCGTTAACCCTCGGGGCTCCGGGGTGGGGCTCACCTGGCTGAAAGTCGGTTTGTTGTGAAGCCGGGAGCACCGGTCCCCGTGCCGGCAGGCCCCGATCTTAAAGTAAAAAGAGCAGTTAACCCTGGAAGAGGTGCAAAGACAGAGGTGAACCGAGGGCCGGGGAGGCTGGACACCCCAGAAGCACCGCCCCACGCCGCCCAGCCACCAGGGAACCAAGTGCCCCGGCCCCGGCCCCCCGAGGGGCCACTCCCTGCGCCCGTTCTCACTTGTCCTTCTCAGTCCCGAATATCGAAGCTAAATATTCAGCCATTTTCACCCGAACCCTCCAACTCTGTCTGCTCTTTACGTCACTTCCATTGCTTAAGAGTATTGGGAAGCGTAGTTCACCGCCGCCTAGGGACGCACATCACGCGCTCAGAAACTCCCTAGTGCGCTTGCGTGTTTGGAGGCCTGAGCCCTCCGCACGGACTCACCGGCAGGAGTTCCCCGAATGCGCGTGCGTGCAGCGTTGCCTCACTGAAAAAGACTACAAACTCCAGAGATACTTGCGGCATCTCGCGCAAACGTCCGTAGTTGAAAGTGGCGGAGGCGTCCAAGCCACAGGAAGTAGACTCCCCTGGTAAGTTGAGGGTCGTTTCGCGGCCCCCAATAAACGTGAAGAGCGTTTCAACCCAGTCAGCTTTCTGGTGGGGGTAGGGGTGTCCTTCTTTCAGCAAACCTGCCCTTCAGTTTATCTCCTTTTGCCGTAATAGGGGCGTGGTTGTTCGCGATCCTTGCATCTGTCACTTGGGGTCAAGGCTTGGGTCTCGCCCCGCAGACCCTCGGGACGACCCGGCCCCAGCGCAACTATGAACTTGGAGCGAGTGTCCAACGAGGAGAAGTTGAACCTGTGCCGGAAGTACTACTTGGGTAAGGGCCGGTCTCCTAGGCTCCCAGGAGAAGAGAGGGGACCGGACTAGAGCGCCTGAGGGAAGAGGGTGTGGGGCCTGAATTATTGGGTCTAAGGGATGAAGCGACTGGGGACGCGGGCTCCTGGGTCTGAGGGAAGGACCTGGGTCCTGAGGAAGGAGGAGGCCAGGACCTCAACTTGTGGGTCCCAAGAGAGGAGAGGAGGTGGGGGGCTGGACTCCTGAGTTCTGAGAAAGAGATGGTTGAGGAATCAGATTCCTGGATCCCAGGCAGGAGCGAGGATTCCTGAGTTCCTGATAGCAGAGATTTCCATTTGAACTTGGGTATGGGAGAAGACCTTCCAAATAGGTCCTCTAGGTGGATGTGGGGGAGGATCCTCATTGCCTTATGTCCCAGTTTGCTTTTTGCTTTTCAGGTGGGTTTGCTTTCTTGCCTTTTCTCTGGTTGGTCAATATCTTCTGGTTCTTCCGGGAGGCCTTTCTTGTCCCGGCATACACGGAGCAGAGCCAAATCAAAGGCTGTGAGTCCAGGGCACAGATGAAGGGAGGCCACCCAGTGTGGGGAGGGGGAAGTGGGGAGCTTTGGTGGGAGGGGATGATGGAGGTTCCAGAAGTCTGGGGCTCTGTGGAAGAGAAGAGAGGGCTGGTCTGGGGAGACCAGAGAGCAGGTGGAGGCCAACCTTTTCCACTCCTGTTCCCTCTTACAGATGTCTGGCGCTCAGCTGTGGGCTTCCTCTTCTGGGTGATTGTACTCACCACCTGGATCACCATCTTCCAGATCTACCGGCCCCGTTGGGGTGCCCTTGGGGACTACCTCTCCTTCACCATACCCTTGGGTACCCCCTGACAACTTCTTCTGCACAGGCCTGGGAACCTGCTCATTCTCCCAGGATGAGCTCCTCTACTCTAAGCCCACTCTCAAGCCCCTAAGACTTGTTCCCATCTTCTGTGTTCTCTGCTGACATCCCCCAATAAAGGACCCTAATTCTCTATGTTGACTTCCTAGGATCTCTTGGAGGTTGAAGCATAAAATGATTATTAATATTCAGAAATATTTATTGAATGCTTACTTTGTGCCAGGTTTGGTGCTTCACACATTATGTGCATTTTTTCACTGAATACTATTTATAATTCTCCGAAATAACAAAGTTTCCTACTTAAGAACCCTATTTTACAGATGCAGAACCAAGAAAGGAATAATGCTTCTATTACTAGGGGCTGCTATCCCATATTGTAGTGTGTGAATTTGAAAACATTACTTTCCCACTCTGCCTCAGTATTCTCATCAGGAGTGTGGATCACAATTCTACCTCCTACAATTTGGGCCAAGGCATAGGTGGTTAATGAAAGTTTCCCACTTTGTGAAGGCAATGTCTGCAGCAATAGACATATTCAAGAGCTTTATTAGAGAAGGCTTCCTTGGCCATCCTCTTTAAAATTTCAGTCCCCACGTCAGTACTCCCTATGTTCTTTCTCCTCTTACATTTTGTTTAAAACGTTCTACTTGTTTATTGTTTATCTTTCATCTTTTAAAATATAAGCTCTATTAGAGCAAGGATTTTTCTCTTTTGTTCACTGCGGTGTCCCCAGTGCCTAGAAGAGTGCCCAGCACGCTAATTAATATTTGCTAAATGAATGAGGTTGTGCCTGAAAAGAGATTAACAGGTAGCTGGCACTTAGCGAGTGCTTAGTAAGAGGGAACCCAGCCAAACTCCAGACTTGCCTTCCTCTTAGGGACAAGAGGGTCTCCCGACGGTTAAATAAATCCTGTTAATAGCTAAATTGGTGTTACTCAAAGCTTCTAACACTACAAGTTCCAAGAAGCCTCGCGATGCCCTGATCCTACGTCTCCCACCGTGCCTCGCGCGGCGCAGGCGCCGTTACCCCGGCTGAGTCGGGAGCTAGAACTACACCTCCCAGGAAGCGCCCTGGGGTGTCGTCGGTTTGTTTCCGGAAACGGGGCCCCAGAAAGGTGGGACTTAGGGCTGGGAGCGGACGGCGGCAGCTCTCAATTGGTCGGGGTCCCAGATTGACGGTCGCCTTGACTAATGGGAACAAGTGACTGCCGCAAGGGCCCGCCCACAGAAGGGGAACTAGAGGAGGTGGCGGCAGCGGCGGCGGTGGTGGCTGGACACTGGTCAGCGCGGAGGACTGTCCGCACGCGAAGCTTACCTTTGACCTCTCCCCGCCTGCCTCTGGCTTTGACTTGTGACCCTAGGCTCCTTGGGGCTCCTCTGACCCAGCTAGCCAGACCCCAGACCCAAACCATGTTCCCGGTGAAGGTGAAAGTGGAGAAATCAGGTGAGGACCCCGAGTTCGGGGGCCTGTCGGGGAGCTCCGGACTGATCGGGGGATGGGAGTCCCGACAGACAGGAGTATCGCGATAAGGGGGACTGCGCGGCTTCTCCCTGCAGCCCATCTGACTGTCGCTCTGAGGCATCGAGCGATTCCTGCCACCTTCATACCCTCCCGGTCTGTGCTCGAGGTAGCTTTGAGATTGAATGGTGGTGGCTCAGGCATTTGGGGGCGGTAAGACATGGGGATCCTGAGCCATGTGACTCTGAGAAGGACTCTTTTTTTGGTTCTGCCTCAGTTTCCCCATTTCCAGCAGTGGTTACGAGTCAAGCATTGTGCTGAACGCCTGAACTACAGAGAAGCTTTTAATCCTCACAGTCACTGTATCGCAATAATCCTAGGAATGAAGAAATGTGGTAGATGGGGAAACTGAAGCTGAGAGAGAGGAAGTGATTTTGGATTGGGGCGGAGCTGATGGGAACCCAGGACTAGCATGTTAAGGGTGGTGGGAGAGGCACGGAATCCAGACCAAAAAAATGATAGTAAAATGGAGTAAGATGTTAGATGGTATAAGTGGTAATAAAATGAAACAGGAAAAGGTAAGGAGATCAGGAGGGAGGCAGGGTGAGGGAGAGCCATGAGGATATGTGAAGGAACAGCGGATCAGCAAAGGAAATAGCTTTGAAAAGGCCCTGAGGTGGAAGCCTTGTCTGGCGTGTTCAAGGATGAGCAGGGAGGCCGGTGTGGCTGGAGCAGAGCGAGTGAGTTAGAGTGTGAGGAGGTGGGTGCGAGAGGGAGGGGATGGGGACGGGTCTTATGGGCCCAGGTTAGGACTTTGGCTTTTGCTTTGATGGAAATTGAGAGCCAAGGAAGGGTTTTGAACTGAGGAGTGAGTTAATAAAGATGCCCCCCAAATGCTGAAAGAATTGTGGGTAGAAAAGTGAAGGGGGCCTGACCACAAATGGTGGTGGGGAAGGGGTAGGCAGGGTCATGGAGGCCTGTGAGGACCAGGCTGAGGAGCTCAGACTCTGACCAGGGGGCACTGCAGAGTCGTGGAGGCTTCTATCGGGATGATCAGGGTCAGGTTTGGTTTCAGGAAGATTCCCCCGGCCACTTTGTGGAGGGTGGGTCAGAAGGGGAGACTGAGGCTGGGAGCCCAGGGGGAGAAAGGGAAAGGACCAGAGTCAGGGGTGTTGGGAGTGGGGAGCGGGGAGAGACACTCAGGAGGCCAAGTGGACAGACCAGGGGATTGGTGGGCTGGGGTAGGGGAGAGAGAGAGGTGTCCATGTTGAGGCCCAGGGGGGATAGTGGGGCTACCCCTGAAATGGGAGCCCAGGAAAAGGGGTAAGAGAGAGACCCTGAGGCCAGTGTGGGCCTAGTAGGTGGAAGGAGCCTGGGGGATGTCCAGGGGACATGTCCAGGAGTCCGTGGGATCCCACAGTCTGAGGTTCAGGAGAGAAGCAGGGGGTGGGGAAGGAGACGTGATAGATCCATACCTTGGCTCCTGCCCAAGGCTCTTTGCGAGAATGTCAGCTGCCCCAGCTCCCACCCCCACCCTGTCTCTCCTCTGAGTGATGTCAGGAGTCCCTGCATCTCCCAGTCTCCTCAGGAAGTCCCAGGGCTGGGAAAGCATGTCCCCAAGTGTCCTTCCAGGCTCTGAGCACCGGGCCAGAGCTCCTGCTAGATGGAAGAGGAGAGCACACACCCAACAAGGGCGAGAGGAGAATATTTATAACATCATCTCCTCCTCAGTTCCGTGATGGAGGGAGGGCAGCACAGGCTGACAGAGCCAGGCATCGCCTGTGGCAGGCAGGAAGGTGGGCGCAGATCTCATTTCCAGAAAAAAAAAAGCCAAAAATGGGTATTTTAGGTGAAATCTCCCGATTTTTAAATGTAGTCAGCTCATTCAGATTTAATTCAGATTAAAATAACACCACTGCCTCAGCCAAACAAAGCACATCTGGCAGCAAGACTCTGCACCCAGTCTGAGACCCTGCCTTATAACCTCAGCTGTGGAGCCAGAGAGCCTGGGTGCAGATCCTCAGTCCTGCTGTTTCCTGGCCGTGTAACTTTGAGCAAGTCATTTAACATTTCTGTGCCTCAGTTTCACTGTCTATAAAATGGGGATAAACATCGTATCTTCCTGCCAGGCTTACTGTGAGAATTCAGTGGGTTAATGTGTGTGATGTGCTTGGAACCACACCTGGCACATAGTAAGCACTGTGTACATGCTATTTTTATTATTATTGCATCCTGCTAAGAAACTCGTCTACACCATGGTTTATTTAAACCTCAAAACAGTCCTAGCAGATGGGTATCATCCAGAGACCCATTTTCATGATGAGGAAACAGGCTCAGCAACATAAGGTGACTTAGGTCACATGGGAGCATGTGGCACAGCCCTGGAATCCAGTGCTCCTGCTCATCGCTTCAGCAGTCTCTACCCACTGCACCCTCAGCATTCCCCGGCCTGGTGAAGGATTGGATAGGCATGCCCTCCCTGGCCCAGTTGGCTACAAACCCGCCTCAGGCCTGGGAACTGACTCCTGCTCTGTCCCCTGTTCCCCAGAGTTGGAGATGGCCAAGGCCCGGAACCAACTGGATGCCGTTCTGCAGTGTCTGCTGGAGAAGAGTCACATGGACAGGTTGGGACCTGGCCCAGCATGAGGTCATAGGGGGTCGGGGGCCCTGGCAGGGGACCCTCTGATCCTGGGTGAATCTGGGTGGGACCCCAGAGGCTGGCTTAGGGAAGAAGGTGCCCAGTGGAGAGGCCACTCTGGGCCTTTGGAACCCTGAGCCCACAGCTCTCTTCTGCTCCCAGGGAGCGTCTGGATGAGGAAGCCGGAAAGACCCCCTCGGACACCCACAACAAGTAAGTTTTGTTGGTGGGGTTTGTATCTGAGGGCTTGTGTGGATAACTCTTCCCTCAACCAAGACCTGAGCACTCGGCCCCGTGCTTCCTCCACCACAGTCCTAACCACTCTGCGGGGACAAAGACCCTGGGGCAACAGACGCTTAGGTCCCCTCATGGTTGGGACCTCAAGGTCCAGGGGCGTGGGTGGGACACAAGGCCTAAGCAATTGGCGGGGTCCATGTAGGCATCTCAGGCTCGATCTCAGGGTATCCCCAGGGTTCCCTCTTGAGGGGTTTGAGCAGGCATTTGAGGGTCAGCCTGCTGACGCCCCGTCTCTCCCCACAGGGATTGCTCCATCGCGGCCACCGGCAAACGGTAAGGTAGCAGGGGCCCCAGCCAGCTGAGGAGAGGTCCCCAGCCCCCACCCTGGTCCTGACATTCTCCCTCCACACACAGGCCGTCTGCCCGCTTCCCCCACCAGCGGAGGAAGAAGAGGAGGGAGATGGATGACGGGCTGGCCGAGGGAGGCCCACAGCGATCCAGTGAGTAGGCGGTGGCCCTCGAGGGCGGGCAACACCAGGGGGCTACGGAGGACATTCACGGACATTCACGTACCTCCCCCTCCACCACCCTAGACACGTACGTGATCAAGCTGTTTGACCGGAGCGTGGACTTGGCTCAGTTCAGTGAGAACACGCCACTGTACCCAATCTGCCGGGCCTGGATGCGCAACAGCCCCTCAGTGCGCGAGCGGGAACGCTCGCCCAGCTCGCCACTGCCCCCTCTGCCTGAGGATGAGGAGGTGGGATGGGGGAGGGCAGTGGGTAGATGGTCACAACGTACCCTCCCCCAGCCAGTGGGATAGACAGGCGCAGGTCTCTGTCCCTCAAATGACTCCTGGACCTGGGGAGGCACACAGACGTGAACCCTTAGGCTGGGGGATGGATGGAGCTCCCTAGAGCAGACAGACATGGCTACCTGGTCTGGGAGGGAGAGGGGACAGAGTTCCCCTGTGCAGATAGATGTGACCTCCAAAATCAGGGGTCCCCAAGAGCTGGGGGGCTGGACAGAGGTCCTTAGTGCAAACAGGTATAGCCACCTGGCCTAGGGGAGCAATCAGGACCCCTTGGGCTGGGCAGGAGTAGATGGGGGTCCCTGGGTTGGGCAAGAGAAGACAAGGATCCCTGGGGCAGGCAGACCTGACCCCCAGCCTTCAGACATGACTCCTAAGCACAGGTCCCTGGTGAGTCCCTCATGTCTGTTGTCACTGGGAAAGGCAGGAGGGGTGAATGTGTACCCCTGGCCCTCTTCTCTGACTTTTGGGCCTGGTGTTGGGGCCCTTGTGTCCCCAGGGTTCAGAGATCAGTAACAGCAAGAGTCGTGATGTGTACAAGCTGCCTCCGCCCACAGCCCCTGGGCCACCTGGAGATGCATGCAGATCCCGAATTCCATCCCCACTGCAGCCCGAGACCCAGGGTACCCCCGATGATGAGGTGGGTATGCAAGGCTGGCCTGGGGCTATGGGGCATATTGTGGGGCCTGGACGTAGCCACCCAGCCTGGCCTCTCTATCCATGCAGCCCTCTGAGCCTGAGCCCTCCCCTTCCACACTCATCTACCGCAACATGCAGCGCTGGAAACGCATCCGCCAGAGGTGAGCATCCCCCAGCCTGCTTGCCCCCCTGTGGCCTCTGTCCCAACTGCTAAGTCCTCCCTCTGCCTCCCACCCCCGCCACAGGTGGAAGGAGGCATCTCATCGGAACCAGCTTCGTTACTCAGAAAGCATGAAGATCCTACGGGAGATGTACGAGAGACAGTGATGTTCCCTTGTCCCCCCAAGCCCAATAAACATTCTCCTCCTCCACACTGGCCTCTGTTGCTTCAGCCCATCCTTCCTGGCCCAGGCATAAAGCAGCTGGCACAGCTTTAGCACATTTATTGGGGGAGTGGGCCTGGTTAGGAGTGAGGAGATGGGGCAGCAGGGAATTCAAGGAGGGAGAAAGATTGTGGGGAATCAGAGTGGCTACTTGGTTGGGTCTTGGAGAAGAAGGGGAGGTGCATGGAAGGTGGATTGCCTGGGATATGTGATTGGAGAGTTGGGGGTCAGGACAGAGTGACTGGGGGGTTATGGTTAGAGTTGGTGATGGGGGCCTAGGATATCTGTGCAGAGTCTGGGGGAATGGGGTAGGGTATCTGTAGTTTGAGGTTGAGGGTCCTGGTTGGCTAGAATCGGTGTCCAAGAGTGGGGGTTAGAAAAGGAGTTCAGGGGTCTGGGGGTGGCTGGCTAGGGTTTCAAGTCAGAAGATGGGTTGGGGGAGGCAAGTAGGGAGAGTGGAGTGTCTGGTTGGAGTGAGGGGAAGGATCCAGAGCCTTGGGAGCCAGGCTTGGATGGTCTGGGGTGGAAGGTCTGTGCAGAGTCTGGGACATTTGAGGGGTGAGGGGGATTATGCTCGACTGGCCTAGGGTGGGGGCAGGGCTGTGTACACCATAATCCGGTGTCACAGAGGGGAGGGGATCGAAATGGGGTGTGGAGATATTTTCCTAGAAGAGTCAGAGGAAATAAGGAGTTTTGAGTGGGGCTATATGCCAAGAAAGGGGGGTCAGTGGGGATGGGAGACTGCAGGCTAAGGCATTGTGCTTGAAGGGTCCGGAACCTAGGAAGGTGTTGAGGGTTTGAAAGCTGGAGGGCTTGTGAGAGCGGGAGTGTCAGTGGAGAGGTCTAGGTTATCAGGACTGAGTCTAGGTTGGAAGGGTCAGGGGGGGATCCCAGATTGGGTGGATGGGTAGTCTTGGCGCGCTGAGGACATCTGGCTGGGCGGAGTCAGGTCGGCTTTAAAAGAGGGGGCCTGAGGCGGCTCCCGGCGTTCAGGCGTGCCCAGCCAGACCCCTACTTGGCAGCAGCCGGCGGCGACGGGAGTGGGGCCTGGGCCGGCGCGGGTGCGGCCTGGATGGACAGGACACCCTCAGGCGACAACGCGGACGTCACGGTGGCAGGATCCACGCCAGGCGGCAAGCGGTAGCGGCGGTGGAACTCGCGCGAGATGTATCCGTGCTCATCCTGGGGGGAGAGAGGCCTGAGTGCCCCCGCCCCTTCCCTATAGATGCCCCGCCCTCCGGCCCGCAGTCCCACCCCCGCCAGCAGGCTCACCGGGCGCTCCTCGTGGCGCGCATGCACCTCCACATGTTCGCCAACCACCTTGACGGCGATTTCCTCCGGCGAGAAGTGCTTCACGTCCAGAAGCACCGAGAAATGCCCGGAGTCGGTCGGCACCTGCACACAGCCCGATCGTCATGGGGCGGGGCGGGGCTCCCGGGACCCAGTCAGGCCCCTCCCCCGTCGGGGCCCGGTCGGTTCCGCTGCTGCAGCTGATCCTGGCCTCCGGAGCTGGGGGGGGGTCCCCTTTCTTACTCATCGCCACCATCGAGGACCTGTTCCCCCAGGATAACTGGCATCATCTGTCCCCGTGGCATCACTGGGATTCCTCTCTCACCCGGAGTGATGAGGCCCCCTCCCCCTGCAAGGTCAGGGACCTTTGCCTTCTCAGGGTGAGGCCTGACTACCCCCCCCCCCGGTGTCAGCGACCCCACGGTCAGCGGCTCCTCCTGGACACTTACTCCTCAGCTCCCTCCCCCTCAGAGCCCCCCGGGCCCTTACTGCCCTCCGCCGTCCCCGGCCAGAAATCGCCAAGATGCCTCCTCCCCCGTCTCCAGAGTCTTCTTTCTACCCTCCCACTCGAGTCACGGGACCGCCTGCGCCCTCAGCTGTTACTAGTACTCCTCCTCCGCTTCCCAGAGCGGCCAGGACCCTCTTCTCAAGCCACAGGACCCTTCCTCTCCTCTGCCTCTCCAGGAGACATAAGGTCACCACATACAGTCTCCAAACTCTCTTCCCCAAGGCTAACAAAGCATTCCCTCCCCTCAGCAGTGACTGGGAGTCCCCACGCCCTTCAGAATGACTGGGCTCCCCTTTTTCCCAGATTCCTTGGGTCTCCAGCCTCCTCCAGAGTTACCAAGACTCCCCTCAGAGTACCGCTCCCACCCTGTCAGTGACCCAGCCCTTCCACTCCCCCGAGAGCTGAGACCGTCCTCATCTCGATGGGGACCTCCCACTCCCTTCAGTAATCCGGCCTCTGAGATTCCATACTCAGGGAACTCCGGAAGCCCCCCTCAAAGGGGCACGCCCTCCCGGGACCCCGAGCCTTGGAAGTGGTCAGGTGACCGCCCCTCCCCCAGGCCTGGCACCTGGGCGGTAGGCAGCGCCACGCTGGGTGCGCGCAGGTAGTAGGGGGCCAGCGCGGCGGGGCAGAGCGCAGCCAGCTCGGCCTCCAGCAGTCCCTCGCCGAAGCGCTGGTCGAAGAGGCGCCCGGGCAGCGGGGCCGAGGCGCGGCGCAGCCACGACGGCTGCACAGGCACGGGGATCTCCATCCTGCTCCGCCGCCGCTGCCGCCGCCGCCGCCGCCGCCGCCCTGGGGCCCGCAGTGCCTCTGCGTGCGCCGCCGCCGCCGATTTATAGTTCGCCCTGTGTCCGCCCCTCGGCGGGCCGCCCGGGGACACTGGGACCGTGGCCAGACTCGGCCATTAATAGAGCCTTATTTAGAAAGCCCAACAATGACTTAGCCATTTATTAAGCGCCTGCTGGATGCCAGAGAGGTGTCATTAGGGTTCCCCAATTTCCCGAAAGGGAATCTAAGGCTGAGAAGGTGGAGCCTTGCCGGAGTGGGGAGCACAGCGCGTTTGGGACCCGGGGCCTCAGAAGCCCCCGCGGAGTTCCCAGTACGTTTAATCCACCCCCGCCCCGCAGGCAGCTCTGGGGATGACGCAGATGGCCGTCTTAGGAGCTGATTCCTGGGTACAGGGAATGCTGTAGCGGGGCCAGGCTGTCAGGAGGACACAGAACAGACCCTACTCCCATCTCAGCCGGGCCCTGGGCCCAGCCCGCCGGCAAGCCGGGCCTAATTCTGTGTTTCTGACTCAGCTGTGGGTGCGCAGGGTAGGGCTGTCTGCCAGGTGAGCAGCGGCCAGGGGGCGAGGGCATGAACAGTCCAGGCTGGCCCCCCGGGGGCCGCGCCTGGGGACGGAGAATAGCTCATTTTGATCCCACCACCTCGGCCAAGAGCCCAGGCCTGGCACTTGGTGCAACCAGCTGCTCCTGCAGCAAGACGGAAGTGGTTAGATGACCCAGCGGGACGGGATGGCCGGTCCGACTGTTGGAGGGATGGCAGTTAGAGAGGGGACAGACTCCCTGATTGCCCCCTGCAGTGGGAAAAACGGTAGTTAGACTGGAGTCTGGACGAGATATCTGCAGCAAGAGGGGGAGTGGTTAGGAGACCCGACTGCAAGCAGAGTGTAGGTTAGAACCCCGCCTCGCCTCAGATCCTTTCCATTGGTCCACAGGTTTGTCAATTACTGCTGCACGCTACGGTTCGCCAATCAAACACGCTCCTTCAGTCAGGCCGCCGTTACAGCCGGTTGTGAGACATCTCCCTTTGGCCACTTTCCAATTCCTTTTCTTTTCCTCTCCGTCATTGGTCGCCTTGGAGGCCGCTCTCTTCCCGCGCCCGCACTCCCAGAGAGGGGCGGGGCCGATAGGACATTGCTAAGCGACCAAGATGCGCGCGGGGTCAGTCCGCTGAACGAGAGGAGCAGGCAGAAGCGCCGAGGGAGCTGCGGGATGGACCGCAGGTGAGGCCGATCCTCTTCCGGGGACCACAGGAGGCCTGGGGAGGACCGAGGGTGAGAGCAACACAGCCGAGGGTCAGGTTTGCTAGGGCCCGGAGTCTCGTTCTCCAACAGTACTGGAACTACAACTCCCAAGATGCTCCACAGCTTTGGCTGCTCCAGTCTTAGACTTAACCATCCCGGGGGGGCCCATGGCGTCTTCCATTCCGCTCTCTAAGGGGCCCCAAGGGCTTTTTTTCCTCCAAGGGTGTCCAGGGGCATCTTGGGAATTAAGTTTCTTAATTTTGAAATTGCCCCCAGACTCATGGGTGTTGTTTTTGACCTTTCTTGCTTAGGCGGAGCCCAGTGACTGATGGACATTGTAGTTTTTTCTACCCTTTTCTCCCTAGAGAGTGTCCCAAGGACTTATGGGAAATGTACGGTGGTAGAGTTTAGCCTTGGTGCTTAACCCGAGCTCCCCTTCAAAATCACCTGGGATGCTGCGAAAAAGATACAGATGCCTCGCCCCCCTTTAAGATATTCCGATTCTTTTGGTCTGGGGTGAGGACCGCACATCTGTATTTTTAAGACTGCTCCTAGACTGGATCCAGGGTTGAGAACCTCTGGCTAGCAGTTCCTGGGTTCTTCTTTGAGACTGCTCCAAAGGCTGGTGGGACTCGTGCCTCCAGTATCATTATCTTGAATGTGCGGCAGTGCTTCATGGAAATTATAGTCCATCTCTCCCAGGAATCTGTGGGAACCATAATCTGGTTCTGCCTTCCTCTCCCCTTCCTCCCACCTCGACTTC